CTGGTAGTTCGGTCCGAGATTCGAATCCCGCGAACGGGCTGGCTGCATGGGTGTTCTCGTGGTCTTCTCCATGTGTAACGTGTATACGAGCTAGTTTCCCTTAAAAAGTCCTTCACGAAGGCATTCCTGTATAAAGCGCTGAAATTTCTCGTGAGGGAATATGAATGAAATTTCGAAAGGAAAAAAGAATTTTTAGCTAAGTACGACGGTCACTTAATTACATTTTAATGGGAGATCTTCAAAAATTATCCATAAAGCTTCTTCATTTAATCAACTGGGTTCTTTTGAACACTTTCACTTCATTAATAATTTTTCTTGTTTACTTAATGATATTAATTTTCCAATCTCTCTCTTCCAAATTCTTTCAAATTTTTAATACCTTTACGTTTAATTACTATTTTACACATCACATCGTGTTACATTCTTTCCCTTACAAAATCGTTTGGCTCTTCCCAGTAAGGAAATTTCCTTTCCCTGTCATGAGAAATCTGAATAATGTAATAAAAATTATTGTTATTCTTGAATTCTACTTTTTATGGAAACCTATGGTGGTGAGGTTTAGTTTAGCAAAGATATTTTATTTTGTTATTAAAAACAATTTTAAAAAAGTGAATTTTTAAGACAAGCAAAGGTATAAATTATTTGTGACCTCTATAATTTGCAGTTCATGCCACCATTCTTGAGATAAAAATTCTGTAACATTTTATTGACCACGCCTCTCGCTTAAAATACTTACTTAGGTTAATGTTACTTAGGTTAATGTTCATAGCCCTAAACTAGTGCATAATGTTTAATTTAGAAGTAAAATATTCTTTAAGGTTTTTATTCATTTTCAAGAAAATTCAGCGCTTTTTCAATTAGGCCAATGTACACCAAACAGCACGATACATATCAAACAATGCTAAATTAACACAATAATTAATAGCATATATGAGATCTTTAAGAATCGAAACATGAATTTTACTGATAGGTGAAAAATGACCTTAATATTGAACTTATGGAGTAGTCGAGAAATTTTGTAATTGATAGTTTAAATAATTTTTGGGTACATGTCTGTTAAACGTCACTGTCGGCTTAGTAACCTGTTGACTAAATGTCTTGACAGGTAAGTGTCCTGACGGCTAACTTTCTGTGTCGGCCAAATCTCTTGTCGGCTAACTGTCCGTGTCGGCTAAGTGTCCTTGTCGGCTAACTGTCCGTGTTGGCTAAATGTCCTGTCGGCTAAATGTCTTGTCGGCTAAATGTCCTGTCGGCTAACTGGCGTCGGTTAAGTGTCACGGACCCGAAGTTTCCATCTTTGAAAGCCATTGTTATAAAGAAATGAAATTTCTGCAAGTATTGAATGTAAAGCTTGATTGCATGTTGAGTTGATTTTAATTTCACATTGTTAGAAAGTCCTATAGCAATCATAAACCCCTAACCAAAACATTTATTTGCATTAACAGAAACAAATTTATACTTTTTTTAATTTTTTATTTCGATTTTGATAATAAATAGATCATGTTTTTTGTTGCTGTCAGTTAGGTTAACCCATGCTTCATCAAGAAGCACAATGGATTTCCATTTTTATCTCCTGCTAAATAGCTTTAATAGAGTGTTCTCAAATTCCCTGTTTTAATACAGGGTTGTTTTGCATTGAGCCACTTGCCTCTGCAAAAAGTGGTGAACATTTAGTTCTTTAGCCTTTTTTAAGTTGTAAATATTTATTTATTGTTGGTACAGGTATATTTAAAGACTTAGCAATTTATTTCTGCTTTGGAAGTTTTTTTTGGGGGGTGGGGGTGGTATTGTTATCAATGATTTACCTGTAGAAACAGTGTGTACATTTTTCAGGTATTTTTGTGAAACTTCTATCCATGTAAAAGTAATGGTGGATGTTTTTTTTTCTCTTTACGATTAATAATGCTGCTTATTTTGTACTTAGGAATTTTAATACCATTCATATCACAATATTTTTTAATTGTGTAATAGGCATATTTCTCTTCAGAAAGTGCAAAAACTTATCCTTCAGTCCACATCTTATTTACATGCAACATTTTGAAAGAAGAATAAATTTGAAAGTAGCGGATGATATTTCTCATTTCATCTAATAAGGAAAGAAATTTTTATTTCACAACTTTTTTCTTTTTAAATTCTCTATCATAATCATTCTGAAAATGTGTAAACACTTACTGTTTGTATGTCAGATGGATGAATACTTCCTGTTCTTGGTTAGGAATTTAATTTTGCTTTCACTACCGTGATTCTCAGTATTCTCATGTTCTTCATTTACAGTGCTGTAAATGAATATTTACAATACTGTATTTATGTATGATCAGTATACCATTTCCTAACTTTATTTGTACTAAGTGTAAATTGTACCTCAAAAAGGGTTGAATGTTTTTATTCCAGCTTTCTTACAATTGTGCAGCCTATTCAAAAATCCTGTTAAAAAAATAAGGGTAATGCTGACTTTTAGAGGCTATTTTTACTGATGTATTTTATTGCTCAGCATTTTTGGAGTATAATTTAATGACACTAATCCCTGGAGATTTCATTCTTTATGTTCCACTGGAGGATACATCTTCTCTGGAAAGGAAAAATCTTGTCTTTCTCCATGTGGTCCTTCAGTGATTTTCGTTATAGTTATTAAGTTCCTTCAGTTTGTATTTGACAATGGCATTTGCGTCCAGGAGGGTGATATTTACACTATTATTATTGAGATTTCAAACGTCTTTTGTCAGTTTATCTGCATTCTCAAAATGCCTGTTATGTTAACATGCGCTTTCAACCATTGAAGAATGCAGATGCTATCTAACTTTTGAAGCTCGTTTAGATGAAAGTGTATCTTGTTGGTGATCAGGGAGCCTTCCATCCAGGATTGCCTGTAGAGCTGCCTTTGAGTCGCAGAAGACAACGATTCGTTTTACTTACCCAGAAACGAGATGGGATCTATACATGTCAAGTGCATCTGGTATTGCCAGAAGCTCGCAAGTGAAGTTAAAGACTATGATTACAGTGCCAATTTTGTGTTGATAAGTAATATTTTATGTTAATTCTATGTTTGAGTACTGGATTATAGAATACTTTGGAAGAAATTTTACAAAATTTCTTTGTAGTTTTGAATTTTTTATATAGAAGATACGAGCTGAATGATGTTATTCTCTATACATTTTTATCAAAATGAGAACTAGCATCACTTCAAATAGATGTCCTGGTTTGAAACTTAAGTTTTATTGCAAATGCAGCAGAATTCTGATAACCACACACTTTGGGACCAAGGGCTATGCAGATTAATGAATTTTATGGATTACAGGCCGTATATTCCTGAATTTAATTCTGATTTTTGCATGTGAAACTTATCTGTAAATATGGTTTAAGTTATTTTATATAAAACAGTTTCATATCCACTTGCAAAATTTCTTTTTTAAAGTAATTTTTATGCAGTTAAATTAGAGAAAAAAATTAAATAAATACATTATTTATGAAAGCTCCGGCTTATGCGGTTTTCCTTAAGTTAGTTCTACCATTATATTCTGTTCATAAACAATTAGATTAGTAACACTACTAAAATATTAAAAGGAGGTGAAAAAATAACAACTTGTTATTATATTTTCTATTTTAACACCAAAATATTTTACGACTGTGATTTTTTAAGAATTTATCTGTATTCACAACTAACATAAATAAGCTTGTTCATTACAATCAGGCATAAGATTGAACTTAGTATCTAAAATATTGTGGATAAATAAATTATTTACACATATTAACTACTAAAATTATTTAAGGCAATAATTTATAAAATATTATCCCATCGAGCCATAAAAGTTGGCAAGATCCCAACAAAGTTGTGCCATTACTTCCTGCGGAATTCTGAAGTAACTTATGTCTTTTTATTTAAAAAGCAGTCAATATTTGACCTGCTTTGTAAAATCTCGATTTTTACCATTTTGTTAAGCCCTTTAATTTTAACGGAAGCTCCGTTTAGAACACTATGACTACAGATTTCCTACAGGTAATTGTTCCAATCTGTTACTCGTTGTCAGTTATATCGTGTACACACTTTTTTCCTTTTGGATAGAATCCTGTAACTTTGAAGATAATCTACTGCGTGTTTTGTAGAAGGCAAGTCTCAAATTTGAATCCCCTCCCCCAAATGCAAGGAAAAAATTCTTGTTAAAACAATTTTGTTTAATAAACACTACCCCCCCCAAAAAAAACAAAAAAACAAAACAAAAAAAAAAAACAAAATTGCTCAAGTATAGTGTATATTAATTTTATTTTGGAGCATTAATAATTAATGAGCAAAAATTACTGAGTATTATTTGTTTTGTCTTAATTTCAGTTTGCAAAAACACATATGGCTAAAAGAAGGTAAACTTTCACTCATTGCTAAATGCAGTTCATATAGAAAGTTTCTCTGTAAGGCATTCATCCTAAGTTAATGAGTCTTCATGCATGTTATCCATATGATTATTGGCTGCTCTCGGAGAAATTTGCTTATCTATCTAAATGCTTGCTAAATGAAATAAGCTTGATATTTAATAAGTTTTCATGTTTTCCTTTCTTTATAATATTAATATAAAGTACATGTACATAAAATATATATAAACACATTATTTGTTTGGAATATAATCATGTGCGTAGCTGTTGTTAAACAGTTCACATTGTCAAAATGTATGCATTAATTAGAAGAGATAAATAATCCATAAACCGTAAACAGATAATTTACATTTTATAAAAGTAATTTCATATCTTTATTATTATAATTTAAGTAGAAATGCTCATTTACGCTTGTTTTATTAACGGATTTTATTTTGTTTCCGTCATTAAATATTTGATGAACCTTGTGATTTATAACTTTATTGAATATTATGTACTGTCACATAATGCCTGATTGTTGAATAAATCAGTGGCATACAGTAGTAATGAAACTTTGCTCCTAATTTTTTTAATATAATTTGTGTGATGATTTGTCATGTATTTGCTTTTTCTTTTTATTCTTTCCTTCTGATCTGAAGTAGATCAGATCCATAGCTTCATTCACCTTCATGACTTTCAACATCAAATTAGTTCTCTTCAGCAGGTCTTTATACATTTACATGAGATGGTATCCATTGTAAATGGAGGACAGAAGAATTGGGCAAAGTCGTGAGTTTTTCAGTAACTTCTCAAGTCCCTAATACTTCCTCAATTATAATTTGCCTTTTACTTTAGTGTATCATGATGAAAATCTTTCTTATTCTTTTGTTGCTTCATGTCTTGTGTTTAAATTACATTTGTATAGCATATTATACATATTTTTTATATTTTAAAATTAATCACTTCACAATATTCAGTTCAGATGGTCTTATTGTTTTTTGTATATTTAAAGTCATAATTTTTATATAGCTAGGAAATATGTAAAAGTATATAATTACTAGTGAATGAAGTGATATTATATTTTGAGTTCATGTATATTGTTATCTTAAGTTTTTTTCAGTACAAATTAATTTTCAGTATATATATATATATATATATATATATATTATATTGTAAAATGCTTATGTTTTTTATTATATTTGATGTTATTGAACAGTATTTTCAAGTATTACATGTTTATGTCTCTTCAATTTTTTTCCCTTTGAAATAAGTGTATGTTAAATGTTTCTTCATAGTTTTACATGAATAATTAAAAATGTGCTTTGTTTTATCTAGGTCTCTGAAAAATTAATTTCTATGCATTCATGTACCAAGTGTATATTAAATATTTAGTTTTAAAATGCTATGTATTTCTATGTTTTTAGACTTTGCATTGATATATTTTGGATAGTTTTAGTTGTAACTATGTAAAAAAAATATATATATATTTCTAATTCTTATTTATAAATTAGTTAAGTTAATTTTATTCTAATAATTATTTAATGTGTACTAGTTATAATACTAACCAAGATATTTATAGATTTTTGCTTTAGCAAATCACTGAACATTTTCTTATGCATAAATATGTGCATGTCATGATGAAAATTATTCACGTTTTGTTATAAATTTACATTTTTAGATTTCTCAAGATTTGAAAGAGATAATATTCCTGTAGAGATTTTACCATTTCTGAAGCAAAGACCTGAATTGACAATTATGAAACAAGGTGAAAAAACTAAAAGGAATTATTATCATTGTGAATTTTGCCCATATGAAACTAGTTCTCAACAGCTTTTCCAGAATCATCTTGAGGATCACAAATCGTCTAAAGCACAGTCTTGTAATCAGTGTGGCAAGGTGTTCAAAAATCTTAGTAAACTTCATGCTCATATGCAGTGTCATGAAGTGGGTAAGCCTTATATTTGTGTGTACTGTGAGAAAAAATTTAAACGTCAGTCATCTCTGAAGGTTCATATAAAGACTCATTTTTACTGTGAAAGCTGTCCTGTGTGCAAAAAAAGCTTTAGTGATGCTACTGCTTTGAAGAAACACATGTTGGTGCATAAACCCCAACAGATTGAGAATTATCAAATGTAAACTGTTTCTTACATATCTTCATAATTTTATTATATATATCAATTTCTTAATAGTTGTATCTAACTGAATTATTAAATTTCTGAGAAGTGAAATGTTGAATTTTTATAAAAATGTTTCGCATATTTAATGTTTTATGCCAAGCACTCATTAAAATAAATGTATTAAAATGTTTGCTTCTTCTCTAAAGTTCATTCAAGTTTTTATTTAAAGTAATGGACTGATCCAGTAAAAATGTGTTGAGAGAATGTTAACAAGCAACCTAGGGTTCGTCCGGTCCTTAAAAGTCCTTAATTTTGGCCAAAATCGTCAGAAGGTCCTTAATTTTAATTATCTGAAATTTCTGTCTGTTTTTACGATTGCCATTTTGAGTGTGAATTTACATTTTGGAGTAATATTTTTTTGAGATTTGCGGACAAACATGGTTATTTTTTAATGGATTCATAGGTTATAATTTGTTCCTATTTCCAATATAAATGGTGGGATACTCGAGTTTCTGAGCAGGAAGTGAAATATAAGCGTTTCGAAATTATTTCATTTTTTCTAATGAAGAGCTCTTAAACAACTTTTCGCTTTTTGGGATGTGAGTTCTTTTATTAAACCGTTCTAAATTTGGCAACTTATCAAAATTTTGGTGATTTTAAGATCTGTTTCTATAGAAAATTTTTAATTCCAAGATCTGGGAATTTTTCGACAGTTTTTTAGAACGTAACATTGATAAATTTCATTTAAATAATGGTAATATTTTTGAATTATATTTATGAGATAAGATTAAAATAAAGCATTTTTATTTTTTGCTGTGATATTATAAAGTTACATTTTGGCCATTTATTAGATGTGGAAAATAAGTAAGGTATAATGCTATAAAGCACCATTTATGAAACAGTTCTTAGCAAAAGCAAACTAGCTTTGTAATTAAATTAAAAATGTATTTTTAATATTTTCAAGAATTTTCCCCTTGTAATTGTCTCAGAATATTCAGAATTCTCAAAATATACATCAGTTTTCTTCAGAGCTTAAAATGCACCCGAGCCCTGCTCCAGTGCAATTTAAGCTGTGGAAGAACAATGAAAACATTATAGTTGAATGTTTTACTTCTGATACTAGAATCTTTTTCTTAACATTTTAATCTTCCCTTTATTTTCTCTACTTTTCTCTAGACACATACATGGAAAATATCAAAAATGCTTTTAATCTTATCATATGGACCAGCATTATAGAAAGGAATTCTTTTATTAATAAAGATATAGAGAACTGACAATTTAAAAGATTCATCTAATATGCCTTAATGCATCACACACAGGGCTGGCACTATGCTTTTCCCATCTGATGCAGTCTCTGTGTATCTTAAATTCTGCTGCCTGGTGCTTTTCTAAATTCTGCTTCCAATGCCTGTTCTAAATTCTATTCTAAAATTCTAAAATTTTTCCCATTTCTAGACTTTATTGCTCAGTGTGTCACTAAATTCTAAAAATTATGCCACATTAGCTCTCAGGGTTGCCACGCTACCTGGAAAACCGGGAGAACCGGGAAAAGTCACGGAATTTGAAAATTGACCAAAATATTCAGGGAATTTAAGTATTTTTGTCAAAATCTGGAAAAGTCAGGGATGTTCATACAACAATCCCGCCAAAAAAAGCGATTTTTACGCCGACGTCGGAAGAGGAGAGAGATAACTTTTTGGCGAATTATGTATCACGTGAGTGTCATTCGGGTAGCTGGCATAGAGCCAATTTTCGCAGCTCCAATTTGATTGTCTTTTAGAAAGGCAAAGCAAGTTTCCCGCAAGTTTTGGTTTCCAGTATTCTCGAGAATCGCATGTGCAGTGCATGAATTAAAGAAAGTACCTGTTCTCGTATAAAACAAAATGGGTTTAATCCTAGTATACGGTACCATGGAGGTTAGAATCAAAGAATATGTATTGTAAAGAAGCAAAACCTCTCTGCAACAGATGTGGCTGTGGCTCCGTTCCATCATAGAGGGAAACAGCTGTGTGTGTCTGATATATCTGTCGCCAAAGCTCGAAACCGGTGTCGAAGTTCGAAGGTCACGTTATCAAGAGTTCATAAAATGAATATCGTTTAAAATTTCTTTAACCACTTGCGCTAAAAAGACGTGCCACGCACGTCGAGATGCTTTTGTCTCAAACCGCGAGCGACGTTAACACCACGTCGATAAGCATTTATTTCAAAAATGAAAATAACGTGGTGCACACGTCGCCTAACAACGAGATTGTTTATTTCTCGAGTTACAGCTCTGGATTGCACTCGCAGATGCGGAGCGGCGTAAATGAGACACTTTACCGCTTGTTATATTGTAGCGCATGGCACCGCAACGTGAAGTTAGTCTTAGCACAAGTGGTTTTTAAACTCTAAAGGAAAAGAAAATTTTTTGGTGCAAGTTAAATTAATTTATGGATTAGTTATTTTCAGGAAAAAAAAAAAAAAAAAAACTACGAAAATTCGTTTTTAAAATTATTGCGAAAAATCCAAGAAGAAATGCCCTTTGATAAAACGTTTCTTCTTGGATTTTTCGCAATAATTTAAAAACGGATTTTCGTAGTTTTCCTTTTGTCAAAGAGCGTTTCTTCTTAACACGTGTTTCTCAATTTCCTGTACACATCGCGGAGAGGGAAATTCTGGCCACCAGGTTCCGTCGCCAAATCCTTTGGCAAATTTTCCCTCTGCATTCTAGTGGCGTAATAGCATTTTACTTGTATGGAACCTTTTCTTCTTTACATAGACGTTCTTTGGTTAGAATAATAAAAAGATTTGGCGACAACATGATGCGCAGTAAACGGGCCATTTTGGTCTTGGCGACAATTTTCAAAATCGTGCCAAAGCCTTACCGTATACTAGAATTTTACCGCAAAATCTTTTTAAACCTTTTTTTTTTTTTTTTTTAATAAATACCTTGCCATTTTGCAGTAAAATAAAAAAATAGTAATCAGTCATCTAGGCTAGCCATGTAATATAACTATATTCGCTAAAATATCGTTGATTATTATAATTCAATTTTTAAGTAATTATTTTATGTTATCATATAATTTAATGTTGCTACTTCCTCTAAATTTATTTATTATTAGTAAATAATATTTCCAAATTTCAGGAAATTTTCACTGGCATAATCCTGAAATTAATTATATAGCAGTATGATGACATACCATCACGAAATTTAATGCACATATTTTTTCCTTATGTATGCTGCGAAATTTAATATAAAATACCTCAATTATTTATTAAATAGATTTCTTTCTTTCGTTTAGCTGCAGAATGTCTGCAAAAAAAGCCTTATTTTATTCCAGATTGGGAAAATTCTAATCTCAATCTTCAGTGGAGAAAACAAAAAACTATTATAATTATTTGTGTTTTCAAGTGTTAAGGTGCCTTTTAAGAACATACCTCACGCAAATTAAATTTACCTAAAATCTAACCTAACTATTTAGCATTGCGTTGTGATTTATAAGGACCGGATTAGCCTCGTGTTGAACTGGTGATGATCATGAGTATTAATTAAATAAAACATACATTTGTTATCCAATGTATATATCTTAAATTTTATTAAGTTTCTTAAGTGGAAAACTAAACAAAATTATCAAAGTATACCAAGAATAATTAAGAATAAATGTCCTCTGGGATTTATTGAATAATTAAGTGAATTTGCTACACAATACAAGTAATACCGTAATTAATTTACCTCTTAGCACAGCCAACGTACATTATGCGGATAGACTGGAATTTTCTTGAAACACACCTGGAAAAGTCAGGGAATTTCATTCTCCTGTTTGAGTGGCAACCCTGAGCTCTCTAACCGAAGCTTACCATATATATTTCATATTTCTTCTGAATGTTCATATTACTAAAGAAATAAAATTAGCAGCTTTTTCTATACATTCTAAATGCATTTGATTTATTTAGAATATCAGAAATCTTTAATTATATCCAAAAATTCTAAAATGAAAAGGAAACGTGGAAGAAAGAAACTGAATACATAAAGAAAAGCAAATTTATTCTTCAAAGATATGTACAATTATTATTATGTAAATTACCCAATTGTTTACAATTTCAGCCCTTACTATAATTTCCCATTTCTATTTTTTCACTAGAATGCAAATCACTTAGACAGTACTTAAACCGAGATTTTTGGAGTGTAAGACAAGAGTGGGTTTCTGACTTCCACGTGCTCCCTGCATTAGGTCCTGCCAGCTCTGATAATTTGTAATTATTCTTCTTGGATTACCGTTGCCGACATTTGAGTTTGTTACGATGATAGCGTTATTGAGCCCTCCTAAAATGAAATTAAATTGTGTAGTCTTTGACCACTAATCCATATTTTTAGTTTCAATTTGACTTCGTTTAAGAATCGATGTCATAAATTACATGTATTTTAAACTGTGAAATTTTATTAGATTGGGATTTTAATAGGGCCTTTTTTAACAAATATTGTTAAAAAATAAATAAAATTTAATATTGTCCATGTAAATCCATAATGACTAAGGTTATCTTACACCTAATTTAATTACTTATAACTAACTGCTTGCCCTTAAAAATTATCTCTGCATATGAAAGCGAGTTATTGCTTTTCATTAACCCTTACCATAGTCACAAGATAAAATGTAAAAATTCATAGAAAACTTATTCTTCGCATCTAGTCAGACCTAAAATGATGCAAAACAACTTATCACCTCTGGTGCTGTAGTGGCTTATTAGAACCTTAAAGTATATTAACTGAGTCACAACCTCTGGAACTCTACATGAAGCTATGACACAAACGGAGTCTGACAGAGCCCAGCTAACTTTCAGAACTTGCTAATCGTACCTACATCAGGCCTTTCAGGCTTGTTCTGATCAGGAGTTCTCTCTCTAGGTAAGCAGCAGCAGTGACAACAGCCAGTCTTTTGTTGTGAATAATGCTGATTATGATTTTACTTCTCATTTTAACTTATGTCGCTTGGTAGAAAATCTGCAATCTCTAGACTGAGCAAGCATGTGACAAAATGAGATATAAAATAAAATCAATATAAAACTAACTGTTAGTAATACATAAATAAAATGTCATTTATCTCCTTTCAAATATGTTCAGTTCTTACAAGTGTAAAATATATAATGCTGCTTGATAAATTTCATATATTTTATTCTCTGCCTTAATAAATTATAATTATGTTAATTAAGTCA